TACGGAAGTCGGGGTGGGTGGCCCCGTGGTGGGAGGAATGGGCCTCCTACAAGAAGATCTGATTTCCGAGTTCTTGTTTCAGGTATGTTCCTTCCAAACTAAATAAGATGATGCATGTAAAAAACTTAGCACAGAGTCTGGCCTCCAAGAAATGTTAGCTGTTATTCTTCAGTGCGTGGGATGTGTGGGGTTTTCTTTTCAACAGCCCATGCACAGTGACAGTCTGAAGCCCTGCCAGTGAGGCAGGTACCTTGCCAATGAAATTGCACTGATAGTGCAGCCTTGATAGAACATAAACTTTCTTCTTATAATGGAGTTTTCTAGTGTTGAAAGGGAAGATGATGGCAAAACCCCTTGAGCTGGAATTCTAAAGACATTTTCTTTTGGAATGTACCTGGTGTCGGACTTGCTAGAAAGACATTGCAGAAGCCAGATTTGAACAAATTACCTAGCCTTGGATCCTAAAATAGGCCATATTTTGTGGTGGTTTTGGAATTATGTAAAAAAGAAACCAAAACTACAACTTGGAGTCTTAGTGACTGTATTGCAAAGTATAGAACGAAATGTCTAGTGTTGACAAGTGATGAAATGCTAAGCTCAGAGGTTTATGCATCTTTTTGAAATATTAACACACTGGTAAAAACCTGGGGCCTCGGGCCTCCCTGGTGGTGCAGTGGTTGAGAGTCCGCCTGCCGATGCAGGGGATACGGGTTCGTGCCCCGGTCTGGGAGGATCCCACATGCCGCGTAGCGGCTGGGCCCGTGAGCCGCGTAGCGGCTGGGCCTGTGAGCCGTGGCCGCTGAGCTTGCGCGTCCGGCAACGGGAGAGGCCACGACAGTGAGAGGCCCACATAACGCAAAAAAAAAAAAAAAACCTGGGGCCTTTTGCACATTGCAGGGGTGTTTTAGGGCCCTGGTGGAGTGAAGTGTATTGAGGAGCCTGGCACTGTCTTAGATGTGAATGTCACACAGTCACATCAGACTCCCATGGTGCTTGAGAGTGATACTGTCAGTATCTGCCTATCTGTGTCCCTTTGTAATTTTTTAACCCCAGAACTCTATTCCCTCCTTCAGGATGTCATACATATCTTTTTTTCTCTCCATGCTGCTCTGAAATCCTGCTTAGAAAACTATTAGGAAATGGCTGCAGTCCTGAGCTGTGAGCGGTAAACACAGCCTTTGAGAGCAGGAGCACATTTCCCTTTCATGACATCAGGTAGGGTTGTATGACTCCCGACTAGTTTTAGCGTCTGAGTCTTACCTTTTCCCCTACTGTATTGAAGAGTGTTGGTGATCTTTTAAGAGGTACTTTGTCTAGTTTGTCAGTCATTCACACCTACAAGAAAACAAAGTTTAGATTTTTGTTGTGTTACTTCAGCTACACCTTGGTTATTTTATTGGATGGTTTCAAAATTCCCATGTCCTGGGAACCCAGTCAGGCAAGAAATAATTGGTACCGATAAATTTCATAATGGAAAAAATTAGAACTCAAAGTCTTGTGAGTTTGTTATTAATTATGAAGGACAAAGAAAGAGAGGCTCTGAATTCTTAGAGGTCCTAAACCTATAACGGGATGAACTTCTTGGTCTGTCGGAAAGGCTTGGTCTCTGGAAGATTATCCTAGGACCAGCTTCTTATGGTGGTTTACCACACGTACTTTAGTGTTCTCCTCTGGTTTTGTGTCCCTTATTAAAATTTGTGATTTGGGGACCCTCAGGATTTAAAAGTAGTGATTGATGGAGAAGGGACCCTAGGTCTTGATGGCTCTTAACATAGATGAAGGATATGGCCTCTTTTCTTATGTTCTCTGTGCCTAGGACTTCCTCCATCAGGCAGCTGGCAGGACCTGAAAGATCATATGCGAGAAGCTGGGGATGTCTGTTACGCAGATGTGCAGAAAGATGGAATGGGGATGGTTGAATATCTCAGAAAAGAAGACATGGAATATGCCCTGCGTAAACTGGATGACACCAAATTCCGCTCTCATGAGGTGGGTCCCCACCTTCTGTTGAGGAGCTTGTACCTAGACCACTCCACCTGAAGCTGACCTAGCAGAAGTAGCAACAGGCCATGCGTTTGCCATTTGAGGACCTCACAATACCATTAAAGATCTATCTTACGTGGACAAAGCCAAGGAATTCATCATGCCTAAGCCCTGCAGGGTCATAACAGAGAGAAGTCTGCAGTCATAGTATTTTTAACCTGGAAAGAATACTGCTGCAGTCTGTCATAATGTGGTGAGCTATTCCATGATAACACCCTTTCACAACTGGCTTAATCTGCAGTGTCCCTCCATGAACCTAATTATTATGGCTCTCCCTCCTTTGGGTCTAGTCTGGGCTCTGCAAGCCAACCTCATCATCTCAGCCCTTCTAGGTACTGCTACTGGGGCTGAGTTGTCACTTCACTGTGCCTTTCCCAAAGTGATGCAGGAGCCTCTTTGAAACCTGAGCCCTTGGCATTTTCTTGTTGTTCATCACGTCACCCTGGGGACTTAGTTCTTGATGTACTTCCTTTCAAGTAGGTGGCTGCTGCTTTGGATCTCAGTCTGATTCAAATGGTGACTATTCCTTTGATACCATTGAGACCAGATACCAGACCACCAATTGGACATTTTTTCTGGTTACCCTGTCCTGACTTGCTATGGGGTTTAGGGATGTCTGGGGACATGAATTTCTGGGCCTATTTCTTTTTCTAAGGATTCATATAATTCCCTAACTTTATGGCTTGGAGGCTGCATGGGTTAACAGTGCTTTTGCTCAGACTGTCCTCTAAGACTTGAATTTGCAGCAGAAACAAAACAGCACCTGGTCGTCAGTTATACTACAAAGCAGGGTCTCAGTAAGGGTAATCAAATTACTGACTTCACTGAGGGAAAAAGCATCTGGCTTCTTTCATCTTAGGGTCTTTAGATCTGAGAATGCTGGCTGAGGGCAAAGGGCCTGGAGGTAGGCCTGCCTGGACATGACTCCTCTGCTGCTTATTAAAATCTTAGCCGACCTACTCCGAACCCTGGTTCCTCTATATGCAAAATAGTCACAATAACAGCATTATCTTAAAAGACTTGCCGGGGGCTTCCCTCGTGGCGCAGTGGTTGAGAGTCTGCCTGCCGATGCAGGGGACTCAGGTTCGTGCCCTGGTCCGGGAAGATCCCACATGCCGCAGAGCGGCTGGGCCCGTGAGCCATGGCCGCTGAGCCTGCGCGTCCGGAGCCTGTGCTCCGCAATGGGAGAGGCCACAACAGTGAGAGGCCCGCATACCGCAAAAAAAAAAAAAAAAAAAAACTTGCCAGGAAGCTAAATTATGAAGATAACTAAGCATCTAGCCCAGGTCTTAGATTCTGGGGGTTAGTGGCAGGAATTCAGGTATGTTAACAGTAGTAGCTAGTAGCTGAGTTATTTACCACGTAATCGAGTTGCCATTTATTTGTGTCACCTTGGACAAGAATACCTACCTCCTGCACTATTGCGAGGGTTTAATGAGATAGCATTGTGCCAAGCAAACAGTAAATGCTCAATACTTAACTATTATTGTTAGGCAGCCATGTTAGGTGTTGGTGTGCTTTATTCTTCTGGGTCTTATTTTTTCCTTTACCTTTTGTTTGAATTTCAGGGTGAAACTTCCTACATACGTGTTTATCCAGAGAGAAGCACCAGCTATGGCTACTCACGGTCTCGGTCTGGGTCAAGGGGCCGTGACTCTCCATACCAAAGCAGGGGTTCCCCACACTACTTCTCTCCTTTCAGACCCTACTGAGACAGGTGATGGGAATTTTTTCTTTATTTTTAAGGTGAACTGAGCTGCTTTGTGCTCAGGATCTACATTCCAGATTGATGATTTAGTGTCTTAGGACATTTTTTTAATTTTTTTTTTTTAAGGAAATAAAACTACATAATTTCTACCAGGGCCATATTAGCAGTGAAACATTTTTAACTGCGGAAATTATGGTTTTGGTTCAGAAACAAGTTGTATATTTTTCACCCCTGATGATGGGAAAAAAAACAGTGCTGTATCTTTGTGGGTTGCTCTTCTACGGAGATCAGCTGTTACTGTGACTTAAGTCGGCCCATTCTGTTTAGAAATATATTTTAAACGTTTAGTAATTGACATGTGTGATTGTCCTTAATTACGTTCATAGATTTCACCAAACAGGCACACTGATCTAGTAAAAAAAAAAAAAAAAAAAAAAAAAAAAAAAAAAAAATCATTGAGTTGTAGTGGCAGCTTGTACCCAGTTGGTAAGGAGGAGGAGTGGATTACTTTATTTGGGGATAAAGATGTTGCTCTGATGGTGGTCTGAGAACTTCAATCCCAAGGGCAGGTTCAGGGTTCTCTTATAATTCAAGGCCAGCTGTAAATTAAGCTGCTTTAAAGAAAAGAGGGCGCATTGCAGATAGAGGACAGGAATGGGGAGGCTAAAAACAGACTTTTAAAAGTGGGCACCAGCATAAAGATCATTGGGAAATTCTTAGCCAAAACCAACTTTGGCAGTTGGTTAGGGAAAAAAAAAACAAAAAAGTTTTGGTTCTATCACTTTGACTCCTAAATTTGTCTCATTTGTCCCTGGTATCTGAGCTTTAAAAAACAAAACAAACCCCCAAACAAAAAATCCAACTTGTCTTGGGATTCTGTTCAGTTCAGTAATCATGGGGCAGGGGACCTACTTTGTCACAGGCCCAGGACTATTTTTTTTTTTTTAGACCACTTTATTGAAATACAGTTGACCTGTAAAAAGCTGTACATTTAATGTATACAACTCAGTGAGTTTGGGGTTAAGTATACACATATGAAATCACAACCATGAAGGCCATAAACATATCCATCACCTCCCAAAGCTGCCTCCTAACCTTAGCAGAAAGTCAGCCCTCTGCTTGGAACAAAGTGCATACCCAAGAACAAATTTAAGTGTGTTCAGTAAAGATAAAAGGCTGCTCAAGTCAATGGAAGCAGCAACTGAAAAGGACAGCTCAGGTTGTCACATAGTGATCAGATGCAATGTCTTAACAGTTACATAAATAGAAAAATTCACTTAAATGCAGTTTGGTAGACAGTCTTTTGGGGAGGGGATAAAATCTTCCATACAGAACAGCCTGTGAGTACCCTTGATCCATTTCCTTAGAAACTGGCAATACCTTCTACTTCCGTTGGCATCAGGGACTATTTGCCTTATTTTGGCTAGATCTTTCCCAGTTCTGTCTTCAAAAGAGTTAGTTACTAAGAGATACTTAACCATCACTTTTTTCAGGTGACTGAAGGAAGTGGGAACATTAGTGTTCGTAACAAAACAGTCATTGCACTTCCACGTTTTTAGAGGGCACCCTTTCCCAGAATAGCTACTCAGCAGTGTGAGAAGGGCTCTTTTTCATCCAGCTTTGGCCAAGAGATATTACCTGTTTGAAAACAATAACAAAAAGGAATGTTATAGTTGAGCCTGCTTTCCAACTGGCTCTACACTGAGCTAACTGGTTTGTCATGAAAAATAAGGAGTGGAAATAAGTGTAGCTATTACACTGTTTTTCTAACTATGAGTATCTGAAAGAACCAGTTATAAGTGAAGCCTAATCAATGCACACTTTTCAGTAAGTAGCAGAGACAGGTTAATTAGACATTTATATGCATATGGGAGAGGAAGGAGAGACTATGACTGTGAACTCAGTTTTTCCCAAGAAGCAAAGTCTGACACAAGGTTCTATTTGAGAAACAGCATATGTGATCAATGGATGTGTCTGCTGAAACAGCAACAACTATCAAACACTGAGATTGAGAGATTATAAAATCTTATTTCTCTCCACAGTTAACTGAGGTGGTTCAGTTAATCAGAGGCATGAGCTCAAAATTTTTTTAGCTTTCCTTCCCATCCTTGCTTCAACCAGAGCTTTTCTTTAATTGGTTGGTCTTGATCAAAGAGGTATTCCCTGAGCCAAAGGACTGATGTTTGTCTCTGGAGGCTGCTCAGGATGGTTCTCCACTGAGGGACATCTCCTGAACTTGAAGCTGGCACTTGGAAAGCCATCTACCTGGAGTGCTTAGGCTAGTCCCATTCCCCAATGTCCAGAGGGGTACAGCAGCTCTGAGGGCTCACCTATCTGCAGTTCAGCTACCCAAGGTTCTGGGTTTTACTATTGGCCCAGAGTTTTAAAATAGTTACAGTGAGGTTTAAAGATGCAAATCTCCACACTAGGGGTTGCAGATTGATCACAGGATGCACCTGGCTTGCAGCAGGTATGTTTTATTTTCATGGTATTTTATTTTTTTAAATCTTGAATTAACACTTAAAATTTGGGAAATAGCACACAAAATGCCAGATGTCCAGGTTCTCTGGGAAAATGGGCTCCCATTCCTGCCTGGCACTGAATGAGAAGCAGTGCATGCCAGCTGCCCCTTTAGGCATAGCTTGAGCTCCAGATTTGCCACTCTACACATCTCTCCCTGCCTTGGTCCTGTTTCTGTTTTGCTCATTCCTGTTAACACCTGGTCCCTAGAGGTGAATGTGACCCCTGGAATCTACTGCCACCTTAGTGTCACCACCTGTATATACTTTGTTTTTTGTTGTTATTAATACATGTTTTTTTTTCAAGAGGGTATTAAATTGTTTATTTATTACACATGATAATGGATGATACACAACTTCATTCCCGTCTGTATCTGGTACCATAATCCAACTTAGATATATTGCATAGGATGTGCCAACAATCATATATTAATAATCAAAAAACTCCATGACTTGGCTTGGGTGACCCTTCTCACGGTGAACTCCAGGTCACAACACAGTAACTGTCAGTTCAACTACACCAAGGTTTCGGAAGACAGTAGCTTCTCCACCAAAGCAGGTTGTAAATAAATTTTGAATGGAACCTGGCATCACCCTGAAGGAATACTAACTTCACACTGTTGGGGTAGTTTACCAAATTGGCTTCAGGGTAGACTAACTTTACACAGCACATGTAAAAAAAAGACACATTTATTCAGCGTCATGATCAGACTATTAAGCAATCAACACCATGGGTGCAAAAAAAAAAAATCTACATTAAAACCCTTTGTTGGAATGCTTTACACTTCCCACAGAACAGAAACTAAAATAACCTGTTATACAATTAGTCACAAATACAGTCCTCAAGGTTTTTTTGCCCATACACATGAGTATTGTCTAAAACATGTCTCCTTTGTAGCAGCTAGGCCCTGCTACCACTGTGCTTGGCTGAGTTCACAAATCTGTTGTAACCTGTAGCTTCTCTGTCACTTCTCTGGCTCTCCTCTCCTGCTAAGCTTTGTTTCCTGGCAGTAATCAAAACCTTCTGCCACTGCCAAAGCTACTGCTGCTGCTGGAACCGCCACAGTCACCTTGGTTTTGGGGTTTGGCAAAGTATTGGCCTCCGCCACCATAGGTGCCAGAACTTCTGCCTCCAAAGTTTCCTCCTTTCATGGGTCCAGAATTTGAAGATTGATTGTTTTAACTGCCAAAATCATTGTAGCTTCCACCACCTCCAAAATTGCTTCCATCATTACCAAATCCATCATAGCCATCCCCACTGCCACCATATCCACCACCACCGCGGCTGCCACCAAAGCCACCTTGACCACTGAAGTTTCCTCCACGACCAAAGGTGTCATTCCCACCAAAACCACCTCCATGACCACCACCAAAGTTTCCAGAACCACTTCGACCTCTTTGGCTGGATGAGGCACTAGCCATCTCTTGCTTAGATAGGGCTTTCCTTACTTCACAGTTGTGGCCATTTACAGTGTGGTATTTCTGAATGACAATCTTGGCTACAGAGTCATGATCATCAAAGGTTACGAAAGCAAAGCTTCTCTTTTGCCACTGCCTCAATCAGTCATGATTTCAATCACTTCAATTTTCCCATACTGTTCAAAATAATCTCTTAGATGATGTTCTTCAGTGTCTTCTTTAATGCCACCAACAAAAATCTTTTTCACAGTTAAGTGGGCACCAGATCTTTGAGAATCTTCTCTTGAGACAGCCCTCTTTGGTTCCACAACTCTTTCATCCACCTTGTGTGGCCTTGCATTCATGGCCGCATCCACCTCCTCCACAGTGGCATATGTGACAAACCCGAAGCCTCTGGAGCATTTGGTGTTTGGATCCCTCATTACCACACCATCTGTGAGCGTTCCCCACTGCTCAAAATGGCTCCTCAGACTCTCATCGGTTGTTTCAAAGCTCAAACCTCCGATGAAGAGCTTCTGCAGCTGTTCGGGCTCTTTGGGTGACTCTGACTTAGACATGACGGCAGTGGAGGGTGGTGGTGGAGACGCCAACGATGCTTACTCGGCGGCGTCCACAAGCAGAAAGGAGTAATCTCCATGTGTCTTTTTTATTTCCAGTTTTATTGAGATAATTGACATACATTGTGTAAGTTTAAGGTGTGTAACACTGATTTGATACATGTATATATTGCAAAATGATTACCATGATAAGATTAGTTAACATCCTAGAGTCACCATGCTGTACATTATATCCCCAGGACTTATTTAACTTATAACTGGAAGTTTTTACCTTTTGACTTCCTTCACCCTTTTGCCACTTTCTTGTCAAAGTGCTTTCACATAGCAAATATGGGCCTCACAGTTCCTACTGCATTCTTAGTTTACTGTGGGACAGTCTGTTAAGCCATTTTGGGAAACACATACCTGGGGGAGCCACAAAATACTCCTCCACAACGCGATGGGAGTTTTGTAGTAGTTCTTCAGCACAGTTGCCTTCTACCACATTGTCGGATCTCAAGTACAGACATCTACAAAACCAGAAGTTTAAGGTTACCTTCTCAGAACATGGCTTCTAGGGCATGGGTGGAGAGGGTCAAGTACGGGAGAACAAGGGAGCAGCATATTCTTGAGTTATAGTCACTGCTCAAAGATGGAGGAGTTGTAGTCAACAGTAGACCAAATAACAGCCTACCATTTATAGATTCTCCCAAGAACCCTGTGAGGTAAGTGGTAATTATTCCTCAGGATTGATATGTTTAATATTTTTTATGATTACTATGGGTAAGTTGCTTTTGGCGGAGATAGGTAAGAAGGCAATTACAGTATAATATATTAAATCTAACAGAGGTAAGCAATGCTTGCCAAGGGACTAGATAGGGGGACCTAACCCAGCCTGGGTGAGGGACAGGTCCTCAGAACAGGTGATGTCACTCCTTAACCACGGTCAAGGAACAGCTGGGTTGGGACTTCCCCACAGGTCCAGTGGTTAAGGCTCCGCGCTGCCGATGCAGGGGGCCCAGGTTCAATCCCTGGTCAGGGAACTAGCTCCCACATGCCGCAACTAAGAGCTTGCATGCCGGGCTTCCCGGGTGGTACAGTGGTTAAGAATCCGCCTGCCAATGCAGGGAACACGGGTTCGAGCCCTGGTCGGGGAAGATCCCACGTGCCGGATAGCAACTAAGCTGTGTGCCATAATACTGAGCCTGTGCTCTGCAACAAGACAAGCCACTGCAATGAGAAGCTCACACACCACAACGAAGAGTAGCTCCTCAGTGCAATTAGAGAAAGCCCACGCGCAGCAACAAAGACCAATGCAGAAAAAATAAATAAGTTAATTAAAAAAAAAAAAGAGCCTCCATGCCACAACTAAAGATCCTGCACACAGCAATGAAGATCCCATGCAAGACCCGGCATAGCCAAATAAATAAATATTTTAAAAATATGTATACGCTTTAGGGCTTCCCTGCTGGCGCAGTGGTTGGGAATCTGCCTGCCAATGCAGGGGACACAGGTTCTAGCCCCGGTCTGGGAAGATCCCACATGCCGCGGAGCAACTTAGGCCCGTGAGCCACAACTACTGAGCCTGCGCGTCTGGAGCCCATGCTCTGCAATGAAGAGTGGCCCCCGCTTGCTGCAGCTAGAGAAAGCCCTCGCACAGAAACGAAGACCCAACACAGCCAAAAATAAATAAATAATAATTTTTAAAAATATATTAAAAAATATGTATACACTTAAAAAAAAAGAAACAGCTGGATTGGGAGGGTGATGGGAAATGAGCAAGGTGCAGAAACTTGCTCAAGAGTGGTTATAAATAACTTAAGCTGCTAAGTGACAGGACTGGGATCCGAGCCCGGTTCTGGTACCCCTAAGATGAGTGCTTTTTTCATCGCAACCACCTTTGTGGATGTAAAAGTACCTGCCCTTGCAAGATGTACCACGAACATAGCTCAAGAATCTCACACTGTTTTCGGGGCTTAGTGGTTTCATTAAACTATCCAGATGGCAAACTAGTGAAACCAAACAGGAGTTGAACACATCTGTGGGGCTTCACTACTGTTTTAAGGTTTAAAAGTGCATGACAAGAGGTTTGAGTTGGCTTCCAGATACCTGGGCTGAAAAATAAGCAGTCTGCTCAATCACTAAGAGGGTAGCAGCCAAGCTCTTTCTGCTCTGAGCCAGACATAGACTGCAGGCTAAACCTAATGGGACAATGGGGCAGGGTGTGACATGAACATCTGGGTAAAGGCTGCATAGAAGGCCAAGTTGTAATGATAAGATTCTTTTAGGAAAGGATTGGTTCTTCTATTTCTTTGGGGCACCCAGCCCTGGGCAACACATGATAAACACTTATTCATGGTACAAAGAGTGGAAAGCTGGACTCTATTCCAGGACTGGCACCGTCCTAATGCGTCACCTTGAACAAGTATGATCTTTCTAAGACCTTAAGCTTCTTGCCAAAAAAAGTGAAGGTTGCACTAGATTTTTTTTTTTTTTTTACCATACAAGGATTATGCACTCATACTCATTCAAGGAAACTTGGAGAACAAAAATAAAAGTAATCTGCAAAGGTGACCATTGGACTTTCTGGGGTTTATATTTCTGTTGGGCAATATAACAAAATGGCTAAGAGACTGGGCTCCTGAATCACTGCAGAATTCAAACCCCAGAGCTGCACGTGGCCTGTATGCAAGTTACTTATCCTTTCCATGTATCAGTTTCCTTGTTTGTAAAATGCTTCAGAGAATTGCTAGGACAATTAAATGAAATGATGTTTAAAAAGAAGGTCTGGTAGTGCTGGGCTTGCATTCTTAGGGCAACAGGAGGTGGGCGCTGAATAGCACCTGCTATTTTTTCAAAAAGTGTTTGTACACCCCGGGTACACCTCAGTCCCCACTACTCATTCAGAGAATACCTATGCACTTAACCTGCTATAATCACTCACAACCCTCCCAGTCCATAGGGACTGGAGGCTGCTAATTGTTCCTGGGCGCTTGGAGATTTTGACAAAAAAGACTATACTACTGCCAAGAGGTGGTTAAAATCTACTGCTTCCCAACAGTAGGTAGCAATTGATTTGTTCACTCATTTGGTAATTGGGTTTCCTATTAAGTGACATTTCCAGAAAGACAAAATTCACCTCTTTAAATATCACACATTTCCACCTAATTACTATTTAAGATGGAGTTGTTTGTAGAATAAATCCACACCTCCCTATTTTCTTAAACATAGGCTACTGAACACAGGGTCTCTGAGGGTGGCACACCAAGCAGACCCCTCACTTGGCAAGTCGCTTAACTTTTCTTGACCTTGGAATCATGCATAAAACACCAAACAAGACCAGATGAGCTCTTTAAGTGCCTATCAGTTTTGACTGACTGTCTACCTCACCTCATCTTTCTCAGTCAGGGTTCTATTATAAGAGCGTTTAGTCCAGATACGTAGGACAAATTCTATGCATCTGGGCTAGTTGTTAGTTATGTACCATCCTTGGGAGACTTGAAAAAAGAGTCCATTGATCTTTCTGTGTCCTCAATCAGATGAAAGACCCCGGTTGAGAAAACTTTTGACTGTGAATTAGAAATCCCTGCCCTCTAAAGCTCACAGACAAGGCACTTAAACCAGTAATTGAGGGAAATGTATTTAATTTCGTGGAAAGCACTATGGCAGCATGGCAGAAGAAGTGCCTCTGTGAAGGTTGCAGGCCCTTGGGCTGACCAATGGAACAGTTCTGCTGTTGTATTAGTTTCTTTCTGCCTCTTCCCTGCTATCAGGCTGCCAGGAGTTGTTTCTCTGGGCACCACTCTACTTCCATCTACGAGCCTTTTAATTTATTTCTAGTTTCATGCGGACTGAAATGAGAGCTGATCGATTTGGCAAATAAGGCTCTGAGGGACATCCTAAGCATTGAAGTTATTTGGCTGCAGTCAGAGATGTCACCTGAGTCAGTCTCTGGATCTGAGATGAAAAAGGATAAAGTTTCTAGGGGCTGACTTTATTATTGATTGATTGATTGATTTTTTTGGCTGCGCCACGAGGCTGGTGGGATCTTAGTTCCCTGACCAGGGATTGAACCCGGGCCCCAGCAGTGAAAGCACCGAGTCCTAACCACTGGACTGCCAGGGAATTCCTGGGGCTGACTTTAGAGGGCATATCTAGAGCAGTATTTGAGAGAAGCTCTGAGTTCCAAGTCCTGGATTCTCCTCTTAATATCTGTGAAACTTTGGCGCAGGTTACATAACCTTTCTGAGCCTTGGTTTCTTCATCTATGAAAGAGATACTAGTATTTGCCTTTCAGGATTATATGTGATTACTGAGATATAACGCATATAAAATCGTAGTGCTTGGTACATAAGCATGCTAATGCTTTTTAGCTCAAAACAAATGATAGGTTATTAATGGGCCAAGAGATTTCTGTTAGCCAGTCAGGACCTTTACAGCTAGTGCGGCTATCACCTACAACTATTTAACACTTCTCTTCACTTAACTGGGTTCCATTTCAAATGTCAGTGAAGGCAGTACATTCAAAACATGAAAATCCTACAAATGTCACATCTAAAATGGAATCATTACCCCAAACTGGTTTCCTAATTTATGGCAAGATTGCAAATCACTGAACACTAAGTCACTATTCCAGTTACCAGAACCAAATCTCTCTTCATCTCTTCCACAAACTCTTCCCTGAGTAATAGTTGCATTTCTTTATAGTTACCCTCTAGATGCCCTGAGAAATTCTGACTGCTCTTTGCACTCTATTCCCACTTTCCCGTAGATAATAAAGAACATTCAACAAACATTTACTGAGTGTCTGCTCAGTGCTAGATGAAGATGAGCAATAACAGACATGCTCCCTGTGAGGTGGACGAGCAGTAGGAGAGGGGCAGAGAATCAAATATCAATTAAATAGATGTATAAATACATGTAAAATTACAGCTCTTTTGAATACCATGAGAGCCACAGGTCCTGAAAGAGAACCTGACTCAATACAGAAGAATGAAAAGTTCCTTGAGGAAGTGGCAGTTGAAATCTGAAGAAAGGAAATTAAGTAGGCAAAAAAAAAAAAAAGGAATGTGGGGACTTCCCTGGCAGTCCAGCGGTTAAGATCCCACGCTTCCACTGCAGGGAACACGGGTTTGATCCCTAGTCAGGAAACTAAGATCCTGCATGCCGTACAGTGAGGCCAAAAAAAAAAAAGGAATGCATGGGCTGAGATGGGGGTAAAGGCAAGAGCCCAGAATTCTAACAAGGGGAAAGAATGGAGAGCTCTGGGAAAGCGATGTCTTGAAGAAGTGGGCAGAAGCTTGGTTAAATGATGCCCCACAGGCTATGGTGAAGCTTTCCTTTTTATCCTAAAGAGCACTAGGAAGCCACCTGAAGGGCTTGGGTAGGAGAATGACATCAGATTTCTGTTTTGAAACACTGTAACTTTGGGCAAATTGGTTAACCTCCCTAGACCTAAGCATCAAGATTACAAAATAGAGGATTTGCAGGAATCAAAGACTGGAGTGAGGGCTTCCCTGGTGACGCAGTGGTTGAGAGTCCGCCTGCCGATGCAGGGGACACGGGTTCGTGCCCCAGTCTGGGAAGATCCCACATGCTGCGGAGCAGCTGGGCCCGTGAGCCATGGCTGCTGAGCCTGTGTGTCAGGAGCCTGTGCTCCGCAACGGGAGAGGCCACAACGGTGAGAGGCCCATGTACCACAAAAAAAAAAAAAAAAAAAAAAGACTGGAGTGAGACCATGAGGCTAGCAAGCACTTTACATGAAGGTTATGGTTACAGATAAGTGTGTCTCTCCCTACCGGCATTGACTAATGGCAGCTTTCTTTCTCCCACCTGTACCAGGAGTTTATTTTTAAAAATTCCATCAGAAAAAGGCTAAGACAGAGTTGTAGACTGCCCATATCTTTATAGGCTACATACCCATCCTTTCTAAGAAGCTGCAGTCCCAAACAGCAAACAAGTCTGCTTTTCAAAAAAGATCATTTTCTTTTAAAATGTATTAAGATTTGGCAAAAATTGGTAGAGGTGGGTAGAGGCTGCACCCTTTTAGTATTCATAAGCTGCTTTGTCAAAGACCCACCCCTCCCTGTTTCATTACACTACTCCACTACTTGGGTTATTACTCTGCCCCCTTAGGCATTTGTGTTTTGGGCCCTAGGTATAAAATGAAAAGTTAAAACTTCCCTCTAGGCTTCCCTGGTGGCGCAGTGGTTAAGAATCTGCCTGCCAATGCAGGGGACACAGGTTTGAGCCCTGGCCCAGGAAGATCCCACATGCCACGGAGCAACTAAGCCCATGTGCCACAACTACTGAGCCCGCGTGCCACAACTACTGAAGCCCACGCGCCTAGAGCCCGTGCTCCGCAACAAGAGAGGCCACGACAATAAGCCACGCAGCGCAACGAAGAGTAGCCCCCGCTCGCCACAACTAGAGAAAGCTGGCATGCAGCAACGAAGACCCAACACAGCCAAAAAACAAACAAAAAAACTTCCCTCTGCATTCCCATCTTCTTTAACACTAACCATCGTTAATAGTTTCTTGCATGCCCTTTCAGGGAACAAAACAAAACTTAATGCATACACCAGAGTATATAAAATAGATTACACATAAAGTATCGATAATATCATACACGATATCCTGAACTTTGCCTTTTTTATTAAGTATATCTTGGAGACCTTTCCATATCAGCATATAGTTATTTCATTATTTTTAACTGCCAAATATTCCAGTGTACTATGATGATATATTTAGCCATGAAAGACACTTAGAATGTTTCTGGGGTTTGTTTCTTTTCTGTTGTTTTGTATTATAAACAGATTTGCATACCCTGGGCACTTGTGAACACATCTTGATGTACTTTCATAGATATTTCCATAGGGAACCACTAGGTCAGAAAATATGTACATTTAAAATTTTTGAGACAGGAATTCAGCAGCAAGGAAATCAGACATGAGCTCACATTCTATTAACAAGAAACATTACAAATCAACAAAAATAAGATTATCAAGAAAAATATTAGAAGAAAACCCTGGCACTTCCCTGGTGGTCCAGTGGTTAAGACTCCGCGCTTCCACTGAAGGAATCGCGGGTTCGATCCCTGGTCCGGGAACTACGATCCCCCATGCCGCACGGCCAAAAAAAGAAGAAAACCAGATAGGATAAGGAGTTAATGCAAAGATCCTAGAGGAGCAACGAATCTGGCGTGTTGGTGAAACGGTAAAGAAGCCAGTGTGGTTGGAATGATAAAAGCAGTACTTCGGTGCGGTAGGGAGGGACTCTAGGAAGTTGGGCCTCGAAAGTGAAGCTTAGCAGTTCGGATTTTGTTCCTAGTTACACTGGGAGCATCGAGGATT